ACCCGAAATTTATTCCGTCACTGTAACCCATTTCCGTTTGTGAAATTTATTTTATTGAAATTTTCCGTTAACTTTTGGGTTAGGAAAATCAGTTAAGATTTTTATTATGATTTCCTAAGTGTCGGAATGAAATAAAAACACGTGAAACACCCTCGATATCCCTTGAAAAGTTTTTAGTTACGACCATTTAATCTGGTACGACCATAAGCTCCGTGTAACGTCGGTATTGGGTGGATCCCCACCTAGCCACAAACTCAAGCCCTATATAAGAGAGTGAGTAGTCACCATTTGAAGCTTTTTCACACCCCTTAAATTCTCTTTCTCTCTACTCTCTCTCTCTCTCTACAACTCGAGTTTTGATCGAAAAATGCCTCATTTAAGCTCCAAAATCATAAGTAATCCTTCCTAGCTTGTTGTTTAGCTTAGTATGCATGCAAATACGTGTTTAAATCATCCAAAACCCTCAAAATTATGTGTTTACGGTTGAGGAACACCCTCAAAACTGCAAACACCCATAAGTGGGTTTTGAAGCCCCAAAACCCCTCCAAAACCTTTCTAGTGCTTAGCTATGACTTAGGGACTTCCATAAATGAGCTTAGAACACCAAAAACATGTCTTTAAGGGGGTAAACATAAGTTTATGGCCCATGAACATTCATGGACTGTAAACACCTTTTCATAGACCATAACACCTTTTTAAGGTGTTAAAATGCCCTTAAACACCCCCTATGGGTTGGATTAATGTCTAGAACCTTGTATCCCTTCATTTAAAGCACCAAATAATACAAAAACGAGACACGCATGATTTTACGGCCGTAAACCCATGTGTTTACGGCAGTAAACTTGCCAAGGGTCATTCATAGGCCGTAAACCCAATTCCAAGGCCATTTCAATTCCCAATCACTTCCTAAGACCTTGAATCAACCTTAGAAACTTGTATGCTTAACCTAGAACCACCAAAGCATGAAATGAAGGGGTGAATCTTAGTTTACGTCCATAAACTCTATGTTACAGCCGTGAACTCCCCCTAAGATCCATATGGAGCCCTAGTCACTTCTTATGCCCTAGAATTGAGCACCCCAAAACACCCCACCCATGAGTTTACGGCCATAAACTCATGGAGATATGGTCTTTGGGCCATAATCACCCCTAAGGGTTTACTCTTGAAGAGTAAACTCCTTATCGAGGCCATACACTTCTTAGATGCAACCCGTATCACTTCCAACACTTGAGATAAAGTGTTTCCGTGCATTTGAGTGTATTTACTTGCTTAATTAGTGGTTCAATGTCTAATTAGATACAATTACGTATCACTTCATGTTACATAGGATCCTCGCGAGTGTTCAAGCCCTAAATTGACACCTAGAGTCCTACCCGACACATCCTCATCTAGTGAGTTCATACCCCTACACCTTTTTCCGTGTTTTTCATGATTTCACTGGGAAATACAAGCAAAAGTACAAGGGTACTTGTACTCAAAATCCTTTTATTTCGTATGAAACGTTTACGTGTTTAGCATGCTTTTAACACAGGAAACCGTATTACCAACCATTTAACTTGTAGAGTTTGTTTTCGAAACTAAAACAGAGTAACTTGTGAAACTCATTATAAAATGATATATTTTATATTTCACAAAGGATTTCATGCCATTCATAAAACAGGATTTTCCATATTATTACATGTATACTCGTTATTCTTAAGATTAGAGACACGTCCTCGATAACACTCCACATAGATACGCGAGTGGAGGACCGACCCTGTAACCAGAATCTCTTGGAGGGAGAACATGACTTGAGTGTATATATCTATACGGGGCTGACTACCCCGCACCTTGCTGCTTGCTACAGTGGGACCAGCAGGTCTACAGGTGACAAAAGTCATAAAGTGATGTTGGCCCCCGTTACGAGCCATATCTAGTATATTGCATGGTTATAGAACTTGCAACTTAGATAATGGAGATTTACTCTTAAGTAAAAATGAACCTAGTGAACCAACCTCAAAGTAATAATTGTTTTGATTATTAGAGGGTATCAGTAATACCCTTAGGTATTAGTTCACAACCTACTGATTAGTTTTATATACGTGTTAAAACTAATGTACTTCTCAAAGACAACCAAACTTTCAGGGAAACTTCACTTAACGATACAAGTATGGTAGATACTTGTACACTTCATTCCGGATCGATAACCAACTACCAACTTTTAAGGAAAATAAGGATTTTTCCTGGGATAACATGACTTTTCATTAACAGGTTGTTTAACATATGGATAACCAAACTGCTTTTATAAGAAAATATGGGATTTTCTTGGGAAACAACTTTTCGTAAACTTAAAGGAACATTTTCATTCACCGGAAACAAACCGCTTATGAACTCACCAGCTTTATGCTATTATTTCTAAAACTGCTTGTATTATCAGGTTCATGTTAGACAGGTATCCCACTTTCTTTTGGAGGATGGAGCGTATAGAAGTCTCGTCTTTACTTTTGTTATACTGATGTATATATAAAACATGTATTACTTTGCTTTCAAACAAATGTAAATATTCCTATGTAATGTAATGGTTGTGTTTACTATGCTTACTATGTAAATTGGTTGTGATACTTTACATGACGTCCTCCGCCCCGGAACGTTTCCGCCATCTGTTTCGGGGTGTGACAAATTTGAGAGTGAATATATTTCTCCTGGATTGAAAAGCAAGATCGATGGTGAAGTCGTATGCATGCTTTTGGGTGTTACTATTCCTATTGCAGAAGAGATTAATATTCATGTTCCTGAAGTTCAAAGCAATAAAGGTTTTGGAATCAAGAAAAGAATTTCCAGTGCAGGTGAAGTAGCATATGAAAATTCTAAAAAAGAACATAGAATGTGTTCAAGATGTGGAAAACGAGTTCCACAAAATTTACCTACTTGTCCAGAAAGAGTTGGAGCTGCTAAATCAGCAAAAGACAGTTAGGGATTTTTTATTTTTTTTTTTTTTTATGTTTTTTGTTTTATTCATTTTGAATATATGCAGATAAAAACAATAAACAATAATATTCATGTATGAATAATACACATTTATATTGATATGGTAAATTGATATGTTGATATTTGTTTTTAAATTACTATAAATAAGTTATATTGATATTGTAAATTATTCATAAATGAATACAAATATGTGAAATTTGTTATACTAATAAATAAGTAATATTCATATTTGAACTTTTTATCTTAATATCTGAACTTTGTTATACTAACATATTAATTTAAACTTATTCATAAATGAATATATCATATTCGTATTCATTTATAAATAAATAAAAATAAAGTTTGAAATATTTGAATATAAAAAATGACATAAATAAGCAAACTTGTTTCTACTAATACGTTAGCTATATTCATATCTGAAATTTGTTATATTTATATACGAACCTTGTTATGGTGACATATTACTCCTAATTTAATCATAAATGAATATATCATATTCGTATTCATTAATGAATAAACATAAATAAACTTTGAAAATATTTAAATATAAAAAACTGATAGAAATAAGTGAAGTTGTTTCTATTACATAATCATTTAACACAAGATAATAAAAGTTGTTTATAAGCATTTCACAAATATTAAAACGCTGTTCAATAACATTTAACAAACCATTTAAAACTTGTTTCACAGAATCATCTTATATGTACTTCAAATCGATTCATCTTCAACACAAACTATTCTATAGCATCACACTTCAACATTCTTTCATCTTCACAAGCAATCATCAATATTCTTTTAACCTTTTTGAATTGTTTGCATAACCTTGTATACATGATCAGTACGTACTTTGAATTCAACTTTTTGATATTTTTCAGCAAGATCCAACACCTTAGCCTTCAACATGTTAATTTCAGAAGTTAGCATTATGTGTGCATATATGTGCCTGAGCTTCTCTAAAGTAGTTTGCTGAACTGCCCTTTCTTTATGAAGACTTGGTTTCCACTTTTAGAGTGGTTGTCCCATATAGGTCTCCATATGTCTCATTGCAAAGACCCTATAATCAACTTTGTTTTTGACTGTTCTCCATGACATTTCAAGTCGTTGGGGTTTGATACTTTCTTTTAAGATTGCATTTGCTCTTGGATGGTTTATTTCTTTAAAGTATCTCACAAACAAAGTTTTATGATCATCAAATAAAATAAAAGTTATATATGTAATAAATTGGTTCTTTAATGTTGTTGTGACTTGGGTACATACCAAAGGTTTCAATATTACTCTGTATTTCCCTTCATAATCCCCCTCAACTGCAGTATTGTCTAGAATTTCAATGACGGTTTCTTTATGTTGAAGACAATCACAAAAATGTGAGGACTTCTAACAACTGGAAAGAATACATGTTTTTATGTATATGATGGTAAGTATTTTGTTGATAAAATATATATAAAAAAACAACTTTAATTAACATACCATGTCAATATCTTTTATGTTTAAGATTTTTTTGTACCCATTGGTACTGTCATGAAAGTTCTCCTTGATTTTTTCATACTTTCTTTCATCAGACAATATTGAAGTTGGATAAGCAGTTTGTAACCAATATATGAATATGTGAATTTCAGTTGAATATATATAATTATGTTAAAGAATACATCATATTTGTATAATCATATTAGAATTTCAGTTGTAAAAAAATATAATATTCATCAATGAATAAATCATATTGGTGTATTCATTTATCAATAAGGAAGGAACTAAGGTTAGAACATAAAGTTACAAAAACTCCAACTTTCGAGAAGAGTTTGTTTGGTGAATTTCCAAAATCCCTTTCCAGTTCTTGATGGTTAAGTAAATCAGACCAAGTGTCTAAAACTTCTCCAAAAATCTTTGTGTTTGCATGTAAACTTTCCATAAGTGCTCTTTCTATTATCTGACCATATTTTGTCTAAACAACCACATCTCTACAAATATATAATCAAAATGTCATAGATTATTATCTATATAATAATCATATATGAACGTATATAAAATAAATTTACTTACGATGTATTGCCTTGTAAGTTGAACAACCATTCACAGATAATACTCTCCTGATGTGTCAGTTTGGGTTTTGTGTCTGTTATTCTGCATTTGAAAAGTGATTTGAAAGCATCAGCAAGCTTCTTCTCTCTTGGTTTATCCAGATCAAGCTTTGATGGTCCTACTTCAGTAGGAATTGATACACGGATTGGATTTGGATTAAGAGCATTTTTCTTTGCTAATTTGATAACAATGTTCTGATGGTCGTCTTTGATTTGTTTCTTTGTAAGTGGTTTTTTTTGGTGAAGAATCATTAGACTTTTTACATGAAGTTTGATCTGAATCTTGACTGAGACCTAGACTAAAGCTTCGATGAGTATCTGAATGCCATGAGATTTATCATATAAATAGTTGTAAGTTGATTATAATATTTGAATTTATATTTTTAAATGTTTATCCAAATTGTTACCTCCTTTATTTCCTTTTGTCTTGTCAGCTTTTTCTCCTTTCTTGTTTTCATTTTCTGACTTTTTCTTTCCTTAAAGATGAAGAACTTTGATTATGTAATTCATATGTAAATAAGTAATGTATTCATTTATAAATAAGTAATGCATTTATGAATAAGAAATATTAATTTTTTTTATATTGCGTTATTTATTTGTGAATAATAAAACTTATTATATTCATTTATTAGTGATTCAACTATTTACCTTTATCTTCTGCATTTCCTTTCTCAATTTTTGTATGTTTATCTTCACCTCGATCTTTCGTGTTCTTAGCTTCTATTCCTCCTTTATTTCTATCTTCAGAGTTTTCCTTGCCTGAAACATATACATCATATATGAATATTTTTTATTTTTTATTCATTTATATAGTGTATTATTCACTTATGAATAAACAACGTTATTAAAAAAATCAATATAAATATTGTAATATATTTTAAATCATTCATTTACCTGTATCATCTCCCTTTGTTTTTTCAACTTTTGTTCCTTGTTTATGTACACCTTCTGATTTTTCCTTTTCTACAAGAGTATTAGTTTTACCTGTACTCATTGGTGACCCTTGTCAAAATTTAACAAACAAAATTGTTATTGTGTATTAATATTTTTATATATTTTTTTAAAATAAAATAAGACAAAATTTACCTATATCAATATTATCGAAAATAGTTTTCATTTCAAGATGATTCTAGATTTCATCTTCTTTACTATTTAAACTTGAAATTCCAATTCCAAGGACATTGTCCACAATGTTGTCAACAACTTTATCCAACAAATTTTCATTTTCAGTTTCTTGAATAGTCTCTTCATGATTATTTGTTTCCTCATCATGATCATCTCTTTCCTCTTCATCATTCTCATTTTCATTCCTCTTTCCATCTTTCTCTTTTACTCCAATTTCACCTTCTTTTTTATTCTTATCTGCATCATTCTTTATTCCTGCATTCTCCGCTTCATTCGAATCAAGCAAATAATCTACTTCTGGTTGACTTGCATCATTATCACTGTCTTCTTCACCATTTCCCTCTTTATCTTCATTTTCTTTTTGATCATTTGTTTAGTGATCCATTATTGGTGTCAAATTGATTTTTTCAACTCCAGTTTCATTACTTGGAAAATTAAAAAGTGTTGTGCTTTTAGTTTTTTCTTCAACAATCATATAACTCAAGGGAAACAAGTTGCATCTTCCTATTGATATTGACTCGCAAAACGTGTTGACAAAAAGAACTAAGAAGTTCAATTTGAAATTGAAATCAGCTTGTGTGGTAGAAACAATAACATTTTTGATTGCACTCAGTCGGATGATTGAATCTTTTTTAAATTGCTGCTTCCATTCATCATAACTTGTATCATCCTTAGGCCATTGATCCAGTTGTGTAAGTTTGGTTCCCCCAATTGGTATGCCCAACATGTCATGAACAGACTCTGCTGTTACTTTCAGTTCCTTTCCTTCAATATCTATCACCATTCTCTCAGAATCAAATTTTTGAAGAACATAAAATCCCAGTTTCAGTGGTATATCTGTGATTTTCATTATTAACAAAGCTCCAAAACCCATAGATCTTACAAATTCTTTTTGTTCTTTGCTCATCCCAATGATTATAGATAGTAATGCCTCTGGTGAACATCTGTTTTTCATTGAGTAAAATTCTTTTCCATTGGTTTTTTTTTTTTTTTTGTCTTTTTTGATTGGTGACTCTTTTTTTTTTTTTTTTTTTTGCCTTCTTCGATGGATGACTACTTTCAAAATCAGAGTCTGAATCTTGTAGTTGTTATTTTTTAGGAGTTTTCCTTTTTGATGGACTTTTTCTGCTTTGATGCTTTATTTTCTTTGGTACTTTTGTTTCTCTTTAATCTGGGAAATGAAAACATATAATATTTGAATAAGTTACTGATATATGAATATGATATATGCTCGTTGATTTATTAATATTTATTTATTACAAAAATATAACTAATATATAAAATTTTATACATATATGAATACATTAGATATGATAGGAATTTTGTACCTTTCGCATTTTTCCTCTTCCGCATTGATCTTGTTTCTCTCATTGTTGGTGAATCTTTACCGGAAATGTTAGTGTTCTTACCTTCATTCAATAGTAAGTAGAAGATAAATGAGTTTGATATTCATGAATGAATATTTGAATAAAACATATGTATTCATATTTTTTTATTCACATATGAATATGTTTTGTTATATTCATATGTAAATAGAACATATATAAGTCATTCTTGTTGTATTCACATTTGAATAATGTATGTATGGCAGCAAGTTATGTTCTATTCATATGTGAATATAACATACATATTTACGAATGAATATTTGAATAAAATATATGTATTCATATTTTTTTTATTCACATATAAATATGTTTTGTTATATTCATATGTGAATAGAACATATATATAAGTCATTCTTGTTGTATTCACATTTCAATAATGTGTGTATGGCAGCAAGATATGTTCTATTCATATGTGAATATAACATACATATTCCCGAATGAATTTTGAATAAAACATATGTATTCATATTTTTTTATTCTCATATGAATATGTTTTGTTATATTCATATCTGAATAGAACATATGTATGTGATTCTTGTTGTATTCACATATGAATAATGTATGTATGGCAGCAAGCTATGTTCTATTAATATGTGAAGATAACATACATATTCACAAATGAATATTTGAATAACACATATGTATTCATATTTTTTTATTCTCATATGAATATGTTTTGTTATATTTATATTTGAATACAACATATGTGAGTGATTCTTGTTGTATTCACATATGAATAATGTATGTATGACAACAAGTTATGTTCTATTCATATGTAAATATAACAAAACATAGTCATATGTGAATACAACAAGAATCACTCACATATGTTGTATTCAAATATGAATATAACAAAACATATTCTAATAGAATATTACACTGACATATTCAAAAAAATAATTTTAAAATGCAGAATAAATGGAAAAATCTAAAAATTCTTTTTTTAAATATTATTTTCGGAACTTGAATTAACTAAAAAAAATACAAAAATAAAAAAGTAATAAAAATAAATTTCATTTTTTTTTAAATACGTGAAATATTCTAATAGAATATTACACTGACATATTCTAAAAAATAATTTTAAAATGCAAAATAAATGGAAAAATCCAAAAATTCTTTGTTTAAATATTATTTTCGGAACTTGAATTAGCTAAAAAAAATTAAAAATAAAATAAAAAAATGCGTCTCACGGTCTCACAAAATTAGGCCGTCTCACATGAACCTAACCATAATATATATATATATATATATATATATATATATATATGCTATAAATTTGATGTAATTAAAACAAGATTAGTAAAATTAAACTAAGAACCTTTAAGAAAGAAGAAAGAAGAAAGGAGATTTGGAGAGAATTTGATTACTTATATAAAGTATTCAAATTGGTGTATCTTTTACATATGTGATAGTGCTATTTATACTAGTTAAATCACTAGACATAATTAATGAGTTGTTACACATATTTGACATATTTATCATAAGAGTTGAAAATAACTCTTACACAGTTGACATTAGGAAATGTTGTCATTCAATTATTTACAACACTCCCCCTTGGATGACATCATTTCAAATTAGAGTTCAACCTTGAAGTACTGCCTCGTTAAAAACCTTGCTAAAGAAAACCCAGTGGGAAAAAACTTTAGCGAAGGGAAAAAGAGTGCAGTGTATAGTTGACTCCCCCTTATTTAGACATCTGTCACATTATATTCTATGCACATGTCGCATTCCGATGCCATGGACATGTTTCCTGAATATTGCAGTAGGAAGTGCCTTCGTAAAAAGGTCTGCTGCATTGTTACTGGATTGAACATATTTGATTTCAACTTGATGGTTTTTTATAAGCTCTTAAGTATAATCAAAAAACTTTGGAGGTATATGTTTTGTCCTATCGCTCTTGATATATCCTTCTTTCATTTGAGCGACACATGCTGAGTTATCTTCATATATTAAAGTTGGACATATATCCTTTTCAAGTCCACATGAAGTTAAAACTAGTTGTGTCATTGATCTTAACCATGTACATTCTCTACTAGCTTCATTTAGTGCAATTACTTCAGCATGATTTGAGGATGTGGCAACAAGTGTTTGCTTTTGAGAATGCCAGGAAATTGCAGTACCTCCATTCATGAATACGTATCCAGTTTGAGATCTAGCTTTATGAGGATCGGACAAATAACCTGCATCTGCATAACCAATCAAACCTTGTTTTGAATCGTTAGGGTAAAATAACCCTAAATCACTAGTTCCTCGAAGGTATCGAAAAATATGTTTGATTCCATTCCAATGTCTTTTTGTTGGGGCTGAACTAAATCTTGCTAGCAAGTTTACTGCGAAAGAAATGTCAGGTCTAGTACAATTGGTAAGATACATAAGAGCTCCAATTGCATTTAGATATGGCACTTCTGAACCAAGGACTTCTTCATTTTCTTCGCATGGACGAAATGGATCCTTGTCAATATTTAATGATCTAACAACCATTGGAGTGCTTAAAGGATTTGCATTGTCCATATTGAAACGTTTCAAGACTCTTTCTGTGTAATTTGATTGATGCACAAGTATTCCGTTAGGCATATGCTCAATCTGTAAACCAAGACAATATTTGGTTTTTCCAAGATCTTTCATTTCAAATTCTTTCTTTAAAAGTTCAATCACTTCAAGGATTTCTTTATTCGTTCCAATGATGTTCAGATCATCAACATAGACTGCTATGATCACATATCCAGATGTTGTTTTCTTAATAAATACACATGGACAAATAGTGTTATTTTTATAACCTTTACTTGTCAAATAATCGCTTAAACGATTGTACCACATGCGCCCAGATTGCTTTAAACCATACAAAGATCTTTGTAATTTTATAGAATACATTTCTTTGGGTTTTGTACTTAACGCTTCAGGCATTTTAAATCCTTCAGGGATTTTCATATAGATATCACTATCAAGTGATCCATACAGGTAAGCTGTAACAACATCCATAAGACGCATCTCTAAATTTTTAGATACTGCCAAGCTGATTAAATATCTGAAAGTGGTTGCATCCATTACTGGTGAATAAGTTTCTTCATAATCAATTCCAGGTCTTTGAGAGAAACCTTGAGCAACAAGCCTGGCCTTGTATCTTACAATTTCGTCTTTCTCATTTCTTTTTCGTACGAAGATCCATCTATATCCTAATGGTTTCACAACTTCAGGTGTGAGGATAATGTTCCCAAAAACCTTTCTCTTGTTAAGAGAATTTAATTCAACTTGCATAGCTTCCTTCCATTTAGCCCAATCATTTCTTCTTTGACATTCAATGACAGATTGTGGTTCAGGATCATCATTCATAATATCACATGCAGCTGAATAAGAAAATATTGCATTTATACTGTCAGTTTCATTTTGGTCACATATTCTATTTGGTGACCATAATTTTGTGCATCATCCTCTTTTCCTGGGGGAATTTGAATAATTCGTGTTTCTCCAGGAACACTTTCCTCATGATCTAGTGCATTTTCTGCTCCTCTTCTTTTTCGTGGGTTCTTATCCTTAGAACCAAATGGCCTTCCACGCTTCAGGCGTGTTTTAGACTCTTGAGTGACTTTATCATCAGATTGTCCATGTGGAATGTCAATTCGAGCTGGAACATTGACAACGGGTATATATGATTTAGTCACCCTTTTTGTGTCAGTAAATGCATCAGGTAATTGATTTGCCATTTCTTGGAAATGCATTATCTTTTGAACTTCTATATCACATTGCCTTGTGCGAGGGTCAAGATATGATAAAGAAGGCTCATGCCATGACACATCCTTTTCCATGATCTTCTTTTCCACCTAATGATGGGAAATTTGCCTCATCAAATTGACAATCTGCTAGGCGTGCTGTGAAAACATCACCTGTTAATGGTTCAAGATATCTTATAATAGAGACTGACTCATAACCAACATATATTCCCAACCTTCTTTGAGGACCCATTTTTGTCCGTTGAGGTGTGCAATAGGGACATATACTGCACACCCAAAATTCTCAAATGGGATATATTTGGTTCTTGACCGAAAGCAAGTTGTAGTGGAGAATATACATGATATGAACTTGGTCTTATGCGTATCAATGATCCAGCATGTAAGATTGCATGGCCCCAAACAGACACAGGAAGTTTGGTCCTCATTATCAATGGTCTAGCTATTAGCTGGAGACGTTTAATCAGTGATTCAGCTAAACCATTTTGTGTGTGTACATGAGCAACTGGATGCTCAACAATAATTCCGACAGACATACAATAGTCATTAAATGCTTGTGAAGTAAATTCACCAGCATTATCAAGTCTCACTCTTTTGATAGTATAATCAGGGAAATGTGCCCTTAATTTAATAATTTGGGCAAGAAGCTTTGCAAATGCCATATTACGAGTTGATAATAGGCAAACATGAGACCATTTGCTGGATGCATCTATTAAGACCATAAAGTATCTAAATGGTCCAGATGGAGGGTGAATCGGTCCACATATATCACCTTGAATTCTTTTAGAAATCTAGGTGATTCCTTTCAACTTTCATTGGAGAGTGTTTTATAATTAACTTTCCAAGGGAACAAGATATACATGGTTTTATGCTATTGGATTGAGGGAACTTTTGGTCCTTCAATGGATGCCCATGTGTATTCTCAATTATCCTTCGCATCATTGTTAATCCTGGGTGGCCCAACCTATCATGCCATAAACTGAATGTCCCAGGATCACAATGTTTTCCTTCGATTACCATATTTGATTCAATCATATGTATATATGTATAATGCAGACCGGAATCAAGTGTTGGTAGTTTTTCAAGCACATGACTTTTGTCTATAATATACATATATTTCTTATTTTCAATGGTCACAGTCTTTGTGTCATATCCTTTGAAATATATGTCATTGAAACTTAATAAGTTTCTATTAGACTTTGGAGAAAATAAGGCATTTTCTATACAAAAGTTTGTACCATTTGGTAATATAAAATGGGCTTTCCCGGTTCCCTCTATCAAGTCTGCAGGACCTGATATTGTATGTATAATTGTTTTTGTTGGTACTAATTTTGAAAAATATTTCTTTGATTTCAGAATAGTATGTGTACTACCACTATCTGCTATACAAAGATCTCCAATCTTTTCTTGGTGTTGTGCTCCAGTTGGACTCATATTAAACTTCACATATGAAAGGAATAATAAGTGAATAAACATAATCATAATTATTATTAAAAGAAAGTTCATTTATTGAAGGAAAGGCATTACATGCAAAATAAACGAAGGAAAAACAGTTTTACTAGAACAATAATAGATTTTTTTTTAGTTAATGTCTTCCATGTCATTGCAGAAATCGGCAACATTTAGCGGAGTGAATTCAACATTATCAATGAGGTTTGCTTCTTTTCCTTTTCCTTTAATGGACTCTTGATAAAGTTGACAAAGATGTGCAGGTGTGCGACAGGTCCTTGACCAATGGCCTGTGCTACCACATCTATAACATGAACCATCAGATTTTTGTGATGTCCCAGTGTCATGCCTTGCCACTTTGGCCTTATCTTGTGTGTGGACATTGTTTCTTTGTGAATGTTGAAAGTTATTCCTTTTCTGGCCACGACCACGATTATTACCTTGTCCACGACCAAATTATGGTTCTGATTATGGCTTTGGTTTCGATTAAAATAGCCACGGCCTCGTCCTCGACCACGACCACGCCCTCGTCCACGTGTATTGTTTCGATGACTATCAATATTTGTAGCATTTGCTTCAGGAAGTGCTACTGATCCTGTTGGACGAGATTCATGGTTTTTCATCAAGAGTTCATTGTTTTGCTCTGCAACGAGCAGACATGCATTCAGTTCAGAATATCTTGTGAACTTTTGCATCCGATATTGTGCATCAAGGTAATGTTTGTTGCATGAAATGTGGAGTAAGTTTTCTCCAACATATCTTCATCAGTAACTTCTTGTCCACAATATTTGAGTTGTGAACATATTCTGAACAAAGCTGAGTTGTATTCATTTACTTTCTTGAAGTCTTGAAACCTTAGTGTTCTCCATTCATCTCTAGCATTTGGAAGTATAACTTCCTTTTGATGATCAAATCTTTCTTTCAAAAGATTCCAGAGAATACTTGGATCAGTAACATCAAGATATTCAAATCTTAACATTTCATCAATATGCTTACGAAGAAAAACTTGTGCTTTTGCTTTGTCTTGTGCCAAGCAATTATTAAATTCATTTATAGCATTTGAGATTCCCATGGACTCAAGATGCATTTTTACATCTATCATCCATGGCACATAGTTTTTCCCGCTAACTTCAAGTGCTGCAAACTCGAGCTTTGCAATGTTGGACATAATGTAATATAAATTTTAAACAAAATAAAAATTAAAATCCATTTATTTCAATAAATATTACACAAAAAAAGCGGTAAAGCTAACATTGCATACAAGCCTAAAAGTAGATGAAATTCCATATTATCTTCGATGTTAAAGATTGGATAAAAAGTAATATGACTATTATAGTCATGATTATCACAAACGGGTGAATCATCATGAAGCTTGATTTCTTGAAATTGATTTGTTTGATAGAAGAGAGAAATATTTATTGTGGGTAAAATAAGCAGGATAAATATGTTTATTTATAGTAAAAAAAATTAGCCGTTGTTTTTACTGTTTATAACCGTTGCATATATATATATATATATATATATATATATATATATATATATATATATATATATATATATATATATATATATATATATATATATCCGTTTTGTGTATTTATAAATCATTTAATAAGATTTATAACTAATACATAACTTTACTTTGTATAATTTTACTAATTAGATACATTAATAAATATTAGTAAATGTTAAAATAAAATTATGAAGAGTAAAAAATAAACATTGACATGTATAAATAAATATAATTTAAATGTTAGTATGCATAAAGAAAAGTCAGTTGCATAATATAAATGTTAGTATGCATAATTAAAAGTTAGTTGCATAATGTAAATGTTAGTATGCATAAATAAAAGTTAGTTGCATAATGTAAATGTTAGTATGCATAAAAAAAATTAGAATACATAAAGAAATGTTAGTATAAGAAATAAAAATCGTTAGTAGTCCATAATGTATAAGTTTTATTAATTCATTAGTATTATTATTATTTTAATATGATGAGGGTTTTTATAATTAATAATGTTTTTACTAAGTAATACATACCTTGATTAAGATAGATGTGATTTCCACTTCTAAATAACCTTTGTTTGAGCTTTCGTGCTGATAACGTGTTATAAATTTGATGTAATTAAAACAAGATTAGTAAAACTAAACTAAGAACCTTTAAGAAAGAAGAAAGAAGAAAGGAGATTTGGAGAGAATTTGATAACTTATATAAAGTATTCAAATTGGTGTATCTTTTACATATGTGATAGTGCTATTTATACTAGTTAAATCACTAGACATAATTAATGAGTTCTTACACATATTTGACATATTTATCATAAGAGTTGAAAATAACTCTTACACATTTGACATTAGGAAATGTTGTCATTCAATTATTTACAACAATATATATATATATATATATATATATATATATATATATATTATATATATATATATATATATATATATATATATATATATTATATATATATATATATTCTCACCATCACTCGGATCTATTATTTCTATATATATGATCATGTTCGCTCATGCAAACGCGCCCACCGTTTCCTCACACTAAGAAATGGAGTTTTCATCTCTCAATTCCTCGGCTGCACCCACCACCGCTGTCCGCGGTGTCACAGTCCCCTCAGAAAACCAATCTGCCGCTTCCCCAGCCCTTAACGAGATCACCATCTCCACCGATCACCCTCCTCTCCGTGTCATCCCTGGTTCCTATGGCATTCCCTTTTTCGGTCCAATCAAAGATCGACTCCAGTATTTCTACGGCACCGGCGGCCCAGTCGAGTTCTTCAAGTCCCGTGTTCAGGAATTCCAGTCGACAGTGTATCGGACCAACATGCCACCTGGCCCTTTCATCAGCAGCGACCCAAAAGTCATCGTCCTCCTCGACGCCAAAAGCTTTCCCATTCTCTTTGATGTATCCAAAGTGGAAAAGAAAGACGTGTTCACCGGAACCTACATGCCCTCCACCAAACTCACCGGAGGCTACCGTGTACTCTCCTACCTTGACCCTTCCGAAGCTAGACATGCTCAACTTAAGAACCTCATGTTCTTCATGCTCAAATCTTCAAGCAGCAGAGTCATTCCTCAATTCGAATCCACTTACACCGAACTCTTCAATACTCTTGAGATACAGCTAGACAAAACCGGCGAAGCTCCATTCAACGACGTCGGTGAACAAACAGCCTTCCGGTTCCTCGGCCGAGCTTACTTCGAAGTCAACCCGGAAGATACAAAACTCGGAAAAGATGGCCCGACACTCATTAACAAGTGGGTATTTTTCAATCTCAGCCCGATACTCACCCTCGGCCTACCGTGGTACATTGAGGAACCTCTGCTCCATACTTTCCGGCTGCCGGCTTTTCTGATAAAGAAAAGTTACCAGAAGCTTTACGATTACTTCTTGTCAGCTGCAACTACAGTCATCGAGCAAGCAGAAAACCTAGGGATCCCAAAAGACGAAGCAGTAAACAATATCTTATTCGCTGTGTGCTTTAACACATTCGGTGGGATGAAGATCTTATTCCCCAGTACACTCAAATGGATAGGCCTTGCTGGTGAAAATTTACAGAGCCAGTTGGTGGAGGAGATCAGAGGTGCGATAAAATCCTACGGCGACGGGAAAGTGACATTGGCGGCGATAGAGCAGATGCCGTTGATGAAGTCCGTCGTGTATGAGATTCTTAGGATTGATCCACCGGTAACTTTCCAATATGGAAGAGCTAAACGCGACCTTACCATTGAGTCACATGACGCTGTTTTCAATGTGAAAGAAGGTGAGATGTTATTCGGGTACCAACCATTTGCAACGAAGGACCCGATAGTGTTTGACAGACCTGAAGAATTTGTCGCTGATCGGTTCGTTGGGGACGGAGAAAAGCTGTTGAAGTATGTGTGGTGGTCAAATGGGGCCGGAGACGGAGATTACAACGGTCGAAAATAAGCAATGTGCCGGAAAAAGCTTTGTTGTGCTGATAACAAGGTTGTTCGTGGTTGAAATTTTCCGGCGATATGACTCTTTCACCGTGGACGTGGCTACGTCTACTTTGGGTTCAAGTATCACAATCACGTCCCTGAAGAGAGCTAGTACCTGATGAGTAATTTGAGAATTTTGGCGAGGGTAATGTTGGGAATGGAATGAGTTCTTTTGTTTTTTTTCTTTTGTTCCAAATAAAAACAATGAAATAAAAAGGATGGGGAAAACTATGTATGACTTCCCTAGTTCCAAGGCCATGCTCTCTAGCAGTGGGGGGTCCTGAGTCCTGACCACCAAGCACATTATCAAAATAGTTTTGCATTCCTCGTTCAATAATGGTGAATTGGTATTTTCAAAAGAAGATATAGATATGGATAACATTTTGGAATAGTATATTAGATATTATACATTGATGATTGATCATTAGTTATAAAAGTAGAAAATAAAAACATTGGGAAATTGGTGTAAAAAAAAAAAAAAAAAAAAAAAAAAAAAAAAGACAATGTAAGGGCAGATTATAAGAAATATTAATTGTTTTTGTATAAATGGTTTCAATATTTCGCTTTTATTAAAATGTTTTTGATAACATTTTGGAATAGTATACTAGTTATTATGGAAAAATGATACAAATGCCTACAAATATTCTAAGGTTAGGTTGACCATTTAAATGTGAGAATTAATTTGGTGGTTTTATGAGAACATAAAGTGGTGAACAACCTCTCTTTTTAATCTCCATTATCTTTTTTTTAGTCTCCGATACCTAAAGTAGAAAGTTTAGCATGCCACATGTACAACCAAATAGTCAAACTTAAAGGGTTTAGTGTGCTACATGTACAATCTTTGATGCTCCTTTGTTTATTTTCGAATTTATTTTCTAATCATAAAGGGTTCTCTCTTCTTACCACCACTCCCTCTTTTCTCTCCATCATTGTAACACAGCCAAAAAAAACTTTTGCTTTCTCTCTAAATCTTGAATTCCATCACTGTACAATTGATACTAGTCGACCATCGTTCCCATGTTTACACCCAACCATTCAATTTATGCAAAGTAAACCATATCATAAAAGCTATCAACCAATCGAAAACAAAAAACAATCGCAAATTAAAAATCAATACATAACATCGATACCTACTAGTAGAAATCAAAAGATGATCCGGTTTGTTCTTTATCTATGATTTGCTTCAGTAGTACAACCAATCGAAAAGCTATCAATTTAAGAAGACTAAACCAGATCATAAAAGCTATCAGCCAATCAAAAACAAAAAACAATTGCATAGTAAAGATCAATACATAACATCGATACTTACGGTAGAAATCAGAAGATGACCTGGTTTGTTCTTTATCTATGATTTGCTTCGGTAGTACCAGATCATAAAATCATTGCAGTTGAGGCTTGGGGGAAGCTTTCAAGGAAAATGAAAGAGAGATACCGATGAAATTTGAGATAAAATGAGAAATTAAGGATTTAAGCATCGAGGTAGAGGAAGAAGAAGACAAACCAAAAGCAGACTGAAGCAGTCGCAACACAAAGAATAGGGCAAAATTTATCACATTGTCTGGGAAATCAGTGTACAAGGGAATATGGAATCGACAAGACGGGTTAGATCATCTCCAACATCCTGATATACCACTAAATCAGTTCCATTAAAGTAGTGATGTCAAAACTAAAAAAATTGTTTAACAATGCTTAATGGGTGAGGGAGTGCTTTAATGACGGAGGTTTCTTGGTTAATGCGACAATCAACATATATGTGGTGAGTTGACAAAAATGTTACCGGTTTACCACTTCAAAACTAAAAAAGATACTTAATCGACCCGATAAATATCAGTCTGTTTTCTCATAAAGCCACAAAATTAATTTAGGGACTTAAAGGGTCAATCACAGACATTACGTAGGGCATTTGTTCATTTTCCCTTAAAAATTATCTATTGATAATTATTTATAAAAGTAGAAAATAAAAACATTACGAAATTGGTTAAAACAACTAACAAAAGAAGACACTACTATAATGGAAAGGCACATTATAGGAAATATCAATTATTTTTGTATGAAATGGTTTCAATATTCTATTTCTATTAGAAATTGTAATGTTATGGTTTAACTACCAACCAAACGACACTTATTATACAAGTGCTATAGCAACATTTCTCGAATGATTGTGCAGAAAGTCAGGATAACATTTGTATTTAACTGATTTTGTGTAACGGATGGTGAGTAGTGTCCAAAAAAAACAATCATATTAGGGTTTTACACCAAAACTATGATTAGTACACCAATCACAATGAATTAGACCATAATGAACAACTAAAACAACTAAAACGTACAACATAATATTAGCAGAAGATCAGAAGATGCCATGAAGCGGCAAAATTTTAACTCTTAACCGCAGCCAATCGAAAAGCCACCCTGAATTTAATGTTATGCTGGAAAACAAATGTCTCTTAGAGGAAGTTATTCCCAAATTAGAGCTCCATTAGGTGTGCTAGATGGCATAGAAACCCATTTTTACGACAAATCAACAAAAATACTTTTAAGTTAGATATGATATAGAAATGCAATATTTCGATTTAGTATACTTTAATTTAACATAATTTGAAGTAGATTTAGCAACATAAATATATAAACTTTAAACTTATCTCTTTAACAGGAAAATGACATTGTAGCCTACAATATTTACAAAATTGGTCTAACTAGTCCCTAAACATTTTTTGTTGCTTTTGGGTGGCATAAGTTTGTTTTTTTCCGATCTAATTGGTCATTTTCAAGGAAGCGAAGCGGGTAAACTGATGAAATCTTTGCCACCTAATTTAATTTTTTCAGTTTGTGTTATTTAGGTTTTTAATTAGACTAAGCCATCTACCAATTTACTTTATCCTTTTCCTTGGCAGTGCAGACCGTCAATGATGTTGTCCATGTTAGAAGAGAGAAAATGGAGTAAGGGTTTTTAGTCAGTGGTCATTTTCAAGGAAGCGAGGCGGGTAAACAGATGACATCTTTGCCACCTCATATAATTTTTTCAATCTGTGTTATTTAGGTTTTTAATTCGACTAAGCCATCTACCCATTTACTTTATCCTTTTCCTTTGACTAAAAACCCTTACTCCATTTTCTCTCTTCAAACATGGACAACATCATTGACGGTCTTCACTGCCAAGGTATCTTTTCCAAGTACCATATACACTACACAGATGGCATTAATCAGAGGTTGATAAACATTGATTTTGTAGGTATGGACAAGGATGAGTGATATGGGTTTGTTGAAAGATTCACAAAAGAAAATTGTGAGAAGCTCTATTACTGCCTTCCTTATGTTAATTTTCCAAAAGATTTCAGGTTAATTCAGTTTGTGCTTGATTATGCTGACTTTATAGAAACTGCATATAAATTTGGCTGTGAAATCCCAACATATGTAGACCATTTTGGTAATACTAACATGCAGGAGTGGTTGGGCATAGAAAGAGAGCTGCTGGGAAAAGAAAGAGAGCAAGTAATTGATGATATCTATGATGAAGTAGTTGATAATATCCAATATGATTCCGATATAGTTCAGACAGAGGATGGGAATGATAACAATAACCCTTATTTTATCAAAAATGATTATTGCCCATGTTCTGAGATGGCTAAGGATGTAGGTGAATATGATATTTTTGATGATGACATGGGTGAGAATGAAGCAAAAGATGTTGATTTGCCAAATATTTTGAAATGTCCAAAAATCTAAGACCAAAAATTTCATTTTAATGATAATAAAATCATTGACCAAAATCTTTTCCTAAAACCATAAAGGAAAATCAGAGTAAGTCAATCAATCATCTCAATACATCAGAGTCATAGAAAACAAAATTCATGGTGAGTATGTCTGCGATGTGATCACCTCGAGCTCTTCCCTTTCGATCCGAAAATACCTGAAACATAAACTGAAAACCGTAAGCACGAAGCTTAATAATTTTCACCAAATACCACATACCATATATATCAAACATACAATGAGTCATGCTCCACAACCATTAGGCCCCGCTCGGCATCGAGCCCTGTTTGGAAAAGATATGTCAGAACATGAGATTGGCCCCGCCCATCATATTCATCGGTCTCCGCCTGGCATCGGGCCCGCCCGACATTCATATAGATACATAAACACATGCAAGAATCACAAAGACAAATAAAATACAATACACCCATCAGGCCTCGCCTGGCATCGGACCCTGGCCGTTATACATATCATATACTATGCATGCAAGAGTCACATAGACAACTAGCATCCTAATCATAATAAATCATGGGCCAGTATTGGTGCCTTTGACCCGCCAAGTACAGTGAGGAGACTTACCTTAAACCGCTGAAAATCAGATAAACGCTCAGACTGTTGATCCGGATAATCCCCACGCTAATCAATCAAATAAAACTTCGATTAATAATTGGGCCATAAACCATAACTAGGAATCTGATTCATTTGTCCAACTCCCAAGGTAAAAGACCATTTTACTGTAACAACCTGATATTTCAGGTCAATGTAATGTCTAAAAGTCGAGTCTTGTAATCTGTTTGTGAAGTAATAAAAATATCATCGAAAATGAAATGCTCATAAAGCTCTGTTTGAGTACACTGTGGTAGATATCGTGATAAGGTTTCCAAAAATATAAAGAACACTAAAATCCGAGTTATAACGAAGGAGTTATGACCAATCAAAGATTCGTAACACTATCGGTAAAGCGTTGTTAAGCATAAAACGATAAATTTTGATAAAATACTTTTTAGCCTTAGGTATCTAAATGAAAGTCATAGATATCATTAAACCGCGAACATACATAACAAGAACGCCCAAATCTGACTTCGTATGAGGAAGTTAAGATTTTTTGAAATTTCGGATGTAGCAGTAGACAGCTAAAAACTCGAAATAGAGATCGAGGGATTTTTGACCGTAACAATCTAAATGATAATCGAAGACCTCAACAATGGTAGTACAACGGTAAAAAGTCTGTCGAAAATAGACATCAGATAAAGAAGTTACAAAATTTTAACGGACCTTTCGTGTCCTGGCCTGTTAAAAACAATATAATTAAAATAAATTCAAAATTAGACGACGGAGTCTAAACGAAAGTTGTAGATTACATTCTTACTTACGCGTATATATAAAGAACGTCAAAAACGGAGCTTGTATGCGAAAGTTACAGATATTACAAGTTCGAGGTGTACAAACCGACTCGAGTTACGCCCAGCGTACCCTCGTACGCTCCCTCTACGCCTCTATGCCCCATCCCATCCGAAGTCCGGCAAACGAGGATGCGGTCATGTATGACGTCCGATACGCCCCGCGTACCGAGGGTTTCCAGCCCCTATAAAAGAGATGCGAGGGTTCCTGGAAAAATTGCTCATTTCCTCTTTTTCTCCTGCGTTTTTACTCCATTTTGCATGCAAGCAATATCTTGAAGCCCCAGTTTTCATATCCAAGTGTCAAAGGAAGTTTTACGCTCCCGAGATTCCCGAGAATCCTGAGAAACCCGTTTTCTCCTGTCGAAAGCGTGAAAACTCTTGTTATACTTTGCATGTATTAGATTTATAAAAAATCCATAGTATCCAGGGTAGCCATCCTTGTTAAACCATTTTATGCATCCAAAGAACTTATGATTTATGCTTTCTCAAACATTGTGAAAGAGGATAAACATTGCATACAAAACTATTATTTTAATACATACTTAGTTGAGAATCGGTGAGACGATTACATCTTCAATGCTACCTTATTGTTAAAAGGTACTACCTAAAGTCTTGTCTATTATAACCAGAGTCTCCCGTTTGGAGAGTGTGTCAAATATGTATAGATCTATACGGGAAGTCATGATCCCGCACCCTGACTGTTAGCTACAATCCTTTGGGTGACAGTTTGTCATAACATTTCGACGCCTGAAGACCATCGTCAAAGGCATATTATGTTTAGTATGGTTATAAAACTCACCAGATGGACAATTATTATGGTATTCTGTTTTTATGAATGAGTATCTATTAAAAATATTCTTCATCTAACAAGTGCGATCTTCTTATAGCTTTAATATATAAAACTATGCCTCAACCTTTTAAGCATGTCAGTTGCTTGCGATTTCCGGTCTTGGACACTAGAGACTGCATGTTACTTTAGGAAAATAAAGGATTTTCCTGTATCCAAAACAATCAACTAATAGGAAAATAAGGGATTTTCCTGGTATAACTATTTACATTTCATAACACGAACATTCATATGCATCTCATACTTTTATAAGAAAATAAGGGATTTTCTTGGAAAACGCACGAACTTTGGAATGGTATACATTTTCTCAAAACCGCTTATGAACTCACCAACTTAATTGTTGACACTTTTTCTTTGAAATAACTTGTATTCTCAGGGAACCGCTAAGCATGTTTGGAAACCAACTTTAGGGGATTAACGCTCTAACGTTAATTACTTCTTTTGAAAGATGTTTATGTATTTATCTTTTGAACATGTAACAAATACAATCATGTAAACATTTTGAAACCTTTATATGTATGGTGGTGTGTACTTTCCTTACTATGAACTGTTATGATACTGAATATGACGTCCTCCGCCCTCGAACGTTTCCGTCATTCTGGTTTGGGGGTGTGACAGATTGGTATCTGTCACACCCCGAAACCGAAGGCGGAAATGTTCCGGGGCGGAGGACGTCATGCATAGTATCACAACCAATGTACATAGCAAGCATAGTAAACACAACCATTACATTACATAGGAAAATTTACATTTGTTTGAAAGCAAAGTAATACATGTTTTATATATACATAAGTAAGAACAAAAGTAAAGACGAGACTTCTATACATTTCGTCTTCTCCAAAAGAACGTGTGATACCCGTCTAACGAGAACCGGAGAATACAAGCAGTTTTAAATTATCAGCATAAAGCTGGTGAGTTCATAAGCATGTTTCCTTTTTGGTAAAAGAATAATTTTCCTTTGGTTTCATGAAAAGTCATTTCCCAAGAAAATCCCATAATTTCTTATGAAAGTAGTTTGGTTATTCATTTGTTAAACAACCTGTTCATGAAAAGTAAAGTTATCCTAGGAAAAACCTTTATTTCCCTTAAAAGTTGGTGATTGGTTATCGATCCGGAATGAAGTGTACAAGTATCTACCATACTTGTATCGTTAAGTGAAGTTTCCCTGAAATCTTAGCTACCCTCGAAAGGTACATTAGTTTTAAACGTATATAAAACTAATAAGTAGGTAGTGAACTAAATCCTAAGGGTATTACTGATACCCTCTAGTAATCGAAATAGTTATTACTTTGAGGTTAGTTCACTAGGTTCATTATTACTATAAGTAAATCTCCATTATCTAACTTGCGAGCTCCATAACCATACTTTAAACTGGATATGGCACGTAACGAGGCCAGTATCATTTATGACTTTTGTCACCTGTAGACCTGTCGGTCCCACTGTAGCTAGCAACAAGGTGCGGGGTAGTCAGTCCCGTATAGATCTATACACACAAGTCACGTTCTCCCTCGAGGAGATTCTCGTTACAGGGACGGTCCTCCACTCGCGTATCTTCGTGGAGTGTTACCAAGGACGTGTCTCCAATCTTAAGAGTAACGAATTTACAAGTAATAATATGGAAAATCCTGTTTTATGAATGGCATGAAATCCTTTGTGAAATATAAAATATACCATTTTATAATGAGTTTCACAATTAGTTTGAAAACTAACTCTGCAAGTTAAACGGTTGGTAATACGGTTTTCTGTGTTAAAAGCATACTGAACAAGTAACATTTCATACGAAATAATGATTTTGAGTACAAGATTCCCTTGTACATTTGCTTGTATTCCCCCTGAAATCATGAAAAACACGGAAAAGTGTAGGGGTATGAACTCACAGTTTAACGTAGGATCCGAAAGCACAATTGGTTATGAGCGTCGAGTGTCAACCGATGTTTTGTTTGCGTGTTGACCCTATGAATGTATATTACACATATATATGTATTAGATTCAGTATCCAATGATACATCATGATGGAAAACCACCCTAAAGGCTTAGAATCACAAGAACTAAGTGTTCTATGTCTTATACTTAGGGATCTTTATAAGTTCAAGGCTAAATATGAGCATTAAGGTGGGTGTATGGCCATAAAAGCGAGTGTGCGGCTAGGGAGTGCGGTCAAGTTGTGTGTGCGGTTGCACACATGAGTGTGCGGCCGTACAGAGTGTGTGTGCGGCTGTACACAGGAGTGTGCGGCCGTACACTCCTTATTTGAGTCCAAAATGTTGATCTTGAAGTGTTTTCTCCTCACTTAGGAGAGTTTTGAATGTGTGTGGCCACCTTATGAAGGTGTGCGGTCGTACACCTTCAAAGGATGAAGAACACGAAGAACACTATGATTTTTAGGCTTAGATTCAAGTGTTTTACCAGTATAATAAGTTGATTGATAGAGTAATTCACGTTCTTGAGGCCCTTTGAGTGTTCTTGGATGAAGTTTTTAGAGAGAGAAAGTAGTGTGCAGCCAAAAGAGCGAAAGAGTGAATGAATGGGGTCTCCTACAATATATATAGGGTAAGGTGTGAGGCTGGAGGGTGTGTGCGGCTGGGTGTGCGACTAGCTGGCTGCACACTCGGGTGTGCGTCCGCACACACCTTCCTTGGTATGTTTGGCCCGATTTTTCGATGTTACACACTTTCTAAACCTTCTTATGACTCACAAGTAGGATATACTAAGCCCAAAGCACT